TATTACAAGTTTATTCATCTATCTTTTCCTCTTCTTTCGTCACTTCCTCACTCTCTCCTCCCTTCTTCTTCCTCTCTCTCCTCCTCCTCCTCCTCCTCCTCCTCCTCCTCCTCCTCCTCCTCCTCCTCCTCCTCCTCCTCCTCCTCCTCCTCCTCCTCCTCCTCCTCCTCCTCCTCCTCCTCCTCCTCCTCCTCCTCCTCCTCCTCCTCCTCCTCCTCCTCCTCCTCCTCCTCCTCCTCCTCCTCCTCCTCCTCCTCCTCCTCCTCCTCCTCCTCCTCCTCCTCCTCCTCCTCCTCCTCCTCCTCCTCCTCCTCCTCCTCCTCCTCCTCCTCCTCCTCCTCCTCCTCCTCCTCCTCCTCCTCCTCCTCCTCCTCCTCCTCCTCCTCCTCCTCCTCCTCCTCCTCCTCCTCCTCCTCCTCCTCCTCCTCCTCCTCCTCCTCCTCCTCCTCCTCCTCCTCCTCCTCCTCCTCCTCCTCCTCCTCCTCCTCCTCCTCCTCCTCCTCCTCCTCCTCCTCCTCCTCCTCCTCCTCCTCCTCCTCCTCCTCCTCCTCCTCCTCCTCCTCCTCCTCCTCCTCCTCCTCCTCCTCCTCCTCCTCCTCCTCCTCCTCCTCCTCCTCCTCCTCCTCCTCCTCCTCCTCCTCCTCCTCCTCCTCCTCCTCCTCCTCCTCCTCCTCCTCCTCCTCCTCCTCCTCCTCCTCCTCCTCCTCCTCCTCCTCCTCCTCCTCCTCCTCCTCCTCCTCCTCCTCCTCCTCCTCCTCCTCCTCCTCCTCCTCCTCCTCCTCCTCCTCCTCCTCCTCCTCCTCCTCCTCCTCCTCCTCCTCCTCCTCCTCCTCCTCCTCCTCCTCCTCCTCCTCCTCCTCCTCCTCCTCCTCCTCCTCCTCCTCCTCCTCCTCCTCCTCCTCCTCCTCCTCCTCCTCCTCCTCCTCCTCCTCCTCCTCCTCCTCCTCCTCCTCCTCCTCCTCCTCCTCCTCCTCCTCCTCCTCCTCCTCTCTCTCTCTCTCTCTCTCTTTCTCCCCCCCCTCTTTTAGCTTATTCCCTCTCCTCCCCTGACCCCTGCTCTGCACCTTGTCATCACCCGCACGTCAACTTGTCGTAATAAATCACCCAAAATGCATCGAGAATTTGCAATTGCAAGGCTTTAACCAACACCCAACCTCCCTCCACCCCTTCCTCTTCCCCTCTGCCCTTCCTCCCTCTCTTCCCCTCTCTCCTTCCTCCCTCTTTTCCCCTCTCCCCTTCCTCCCTCTCTTCCCCGTCATCATTCATCTATTTCCCTCCCTCCCCCCTCCTCCTTTTCTTCCTTCCCCTCTTCTACCTGCCTCTTTACCTCCTTCCCTTCCTCTTTCTCTCTCTCTCTCTCTCTCTCTCTCTCTCTCTCTCTCTCTCTCTCTCTCTCTCTCTCTCTCTCTCTCTCTCTCTCTCTCTCTCTCTTTCTCGCTCTATCTTTCTCTCTCTCTTTCCCTCCCTCCCTCCCCCTCCCCCCTCCCCCACCTTACACCCTACCGCCCTCCTTCCTTCAAAACATAACAAAAAAAAAAAAAGAAACATAAAAAAAAACATGCAACGTAAACTAGTAGGCTAGTTGAACGAGACTATCAATTGAGCCTGTTGAACGCAACCTGTCAGTCACGCTGTTGTTGGACGAAGCTGTCATGAGATCGTCTGTGAGTGAACGACATAATTACATGAACGGGAAGTGATGGATCGTCGTCTGTGGTTTAAGTGAAGGTTAAGGAAATGGAATGTACACAGAGGTGTGTGTGTGTGTGTGTGTGTGTTTGTGTACACGTTTGTGTGTGTGTGTGTGTGTGTTTGTGTACACGTTTGTGTGTGTGCGTGTGCTGTTTTTTTTTTTTTATATTATTATACCATTCTTTGATTTTCTTTTCTCTTTCTTTTTCTCTCTTCCTTTTCCTTTCCCTTCCTTTTTTCTTTTTTTCTGTCGCTTTGCCTCTTTCACCTTTCTCTCCTTCGTTCGTTCTTCTTTTCTTCTGCCATTTTTCCCTTCTACTTCACCTTTATTGGTCTCTCTGTCTCTCTCTTTCTCTCTAAAAATTATGTCAATGATGATAATGACAATAATGATGACATAATTGTGAATTTAAGGATTCTGATGGTGTTTATAAAAGATAAATAAATAAAGGTTAGATTAAGAATACAATTATGATTATTATGATGATAATAAGTAAAAAGCAAAACGAACAGAAACGAGAACAATAATAAAAATAGGAATAACGAATAAGAAATAAGAAATTAGAACAAGAAGAAGAATAACGCATAAGAAATAAGAATTTAGAATAAGAAGAATAATAGCGATAATGACGAAAAGTAAATATGCAAAAGAGTGAATAAATATATCAAAAGATATTTGAATTCTTTTTCTCGGTGTCATTTTTTCGAGGAATATTTTTCCCTCAAAGGCGAAGCGAACACAGAGCATGACAGTTCGATTCAGAATGGTTCATTTTCTGTCATTTTCGTCATCACTCGCATTCCCTTGTGGCTTCATTTTCTTTCTTTCTTCTTCTTCTTCTTCTTCTTCTTCTTCTTCTTCTTCTTCTTCTTCTTCTTCTTCTTCTTCTTCTTCTTCTTCTTCTTTCTTTCTATTTTTTCTTTTATGACGGGTTGTATAAGGTTTTTTTTTTTTTTTTTTTTTTTTATAAGTCGTGACTGAATGAAAGACGTTATGCTTCACTTTGTGCATTCTCTCTCAGTAAAGTTTTTTTTTTTTTTTTTTTTTTTGAGATACCTCTTAAAGATAGAGATGGAGGATGGCGGGGAAAGAAGAGAGAGAGAGAGAGAGAGAGAGAGAGAGAGAGAGAGAGAGAGAGAGAGAGAGAGAGAGAGAGAGAGAGAGAGAGAGAGAGAGAGGAGGGGGGAGGAGGGAGTAAGACAGTGAGAGAATGGGAAAGAGAGAAAGAGAAAGAGAGAGAGAGAGAAAGGGAAGGAAAGAGAAAGAAAGAAAGAAAAAGAGAAAGGGGAAGAGAAAGAGAGAGAGAGAGAGAGAGAGAGAGAGAGAGAGAGAGAGAGAGAGAGAGAGAGAGAGAGAGAGAGAGAGAGAGAGAGAGAGAGAAAGGGAAGGAAAGAGAAAGAAAGAAAGAAAAAGAGAAAGGGGAAGAGAAAGAGAGAGAGAGAGAAAGGAAAGGAAAGAGAAAGAAAGAAAGAAAAAGAGAAAGGGGAAGAGAAAGAGAGAGAGAGAGAGAGAGAGAGAGAGAGAGAGAGAGAGAGAGAGAGAGAGAGAGAGAGAGAGAGAAAGAAAGAAAGAGAGACAGAGAGAAAGAAAGAAAGATAAAGAGAGAGAAAGAAAGAGAGAGAGAGAGAAAATAGCTTCTTCCTTTCCCTGCTCGCACTTTCAAGATTTCCCTCCCCCAATATCTACTAGCCAGGCTAACCTCGTTAACGACCATTGATTAACTAATTATTAAAAATCTTTACATTAGATTACACGCTTTGCCTTCCTGCTCGTACGCTAAACACAGCCAGCTTAAAACGCCTCTGACATAGACAACATACGGAGGGGAAATGTGACGATAAATGTGTTATAAGGTTATCAGAACACGAATTAAACATGTTTCGGTCGTAGTTGGGTGAGGTGTGTGCGTGCGTGTGTGTGTGTGTGTGTGTGTGTGTGTGTGTGTGTGTGTGTGTGTGTGTGTGTGTGTGTGTGTGTGTGTGTGTGTGTGTGTGTGTGTGTGTGTGTGTGTGTGTGTGTGTGTGTGTGTGTGTGTACATGTGTGTGTGTGTGTGTGGGTGGGTGTGGGTGTGGGTGTGGGTGTGGATGTGTGTGTATGTGCGTGTATGTGTGTGTGGGTGTGTGTGTATGTGCGTTTATGTGTGTGTGTGTCTGTGTGTTTGTGTGCACGAGTATATATTTGTGTTGATCTTGTTGTTAATTCGTCCTTTCACGCATGGACACGTGTACGCACCCGCATCTACTTGTGTGTGTACCTGTGTATGTATGTACATCTGTGTGACCGCATTTGCCTCCTTCCATGAGTCTAGGAAAGGGTTAATTTTGGATCCCTATGACGTCAATTGACTCCCCCGGTGGTTTATTTAGATCATAAAACACCTGGTTTAGGATTTGTGCCCCTAAGTGGTTCGGCCAAGGAAGGGGTCACAAGGGGGGGAGGGGGGGAGGAAGGGGATGGAGGAGGAGGAGGGGGAGGGGGAGGGGGAGGGGGAGGAGGTGGAGGAGGAGGAGGAGGAGGAGGAGGAGGAGGAGGAGGAGGAGGAGGAGGAGGAGGAGGAGGAGGAGGAGGAGGAGGAAGTGGGAGGGGGGAGGAGGAGGAGGAGAAGGAGGAGGAGGGGGAGGAGGAGGAGGAGAAGGAGGAGGAGGGGGAAGGAGAAAGGTCAAAGGTTGGGGGGGGGGGGACGGGACTCTCCCTCATCACCTTTCTCTTCTTTATCGCTTTCGTTGCTGTAATTGGTCTATTTGGCGAGGGAGGGGAAGGAGGAGAGGGGAGAGGGGAGAAGCAAAAGGTTGTGAGAGGGGAAGGAAGGAGGAGGGAAAAAGAATAGAAGGGAGACTGAAAGGGGAGGTAAGGAGAGAGAAAGGGGAGGATAGAAGGAAGGAGAGAGAGAGAGAGAGAGAGAGAGAGAGAGAGAGAGAGAGAGAGAGAGAGAGAGAGAGAGAGAGAGAGAGAGAGAGAGGGAGAGAGAGTGAGAGAGTGAAAGAGTGAAAGAGTGAAAGAAAGAAAGAGAGAGAGAGAAAGAAAGACAGACAGACAGACAGACAGACAGAAAGACAGACAAACAGACAAACAAACCAACATCCCCCCCTCAAAAAAATACCCCCCCCCACTCTGCCCCCCCCCCCAAAAAAAAAAATAAATAAATAAACCACGAAAACTAAAACGAAGGGAGAGCGAGCCAGTCCGAGGCGGTAACGCAGAGCCGCACGACCAGCCGTAACTGTCCAAGGACCGACCGTGTGATAAAAGTTGCAAAAGTCCTCGATCAAAGTGATTGGTTATGGGCGGCGCTTGATCTGTTTATTATTCCGAATGAGGAGGCCCGAGGGAAGAGGCCTAGAGGGGGGGGGGGGAGGAAGTGGGGGGAGGAAAGGGGGGAAGAGGGGGGAGGAAGTAGAGGGAGAAGAGGGAGAAGAGGGTAGGAAAGTGGGGAAGAGGGGGGAGGGAGGGAAGAAGGGGGTAGGGATGGGGTGAGGGGGGAGGAAGTAGGGGGTAGGAAAAGGGGGAAGAAGGGGGGGTGAGGATGGGGAGAGAGGGGAGAAGGGGGTAGGAAAGGGCTAAGAGGGGTGAAGGGGGAAGAAGGGGAGATAGAGATGGGGTGAGGGGGGAGGAAGTAGGGGGGAGAAGGGGGTAGAAAAAGGGGGAAGAAGGGGGGGGTGAGGATGGGGAGAGAGGGGAGAAGGGGGAAGGAAAGGGGGAAGAGGGGTGAAGGGGGAAGAAGGGGGATAGAGATGGGGTGAGGGGGGAAGAAGTAGGGGGAGAAGAGGTTAGGAAAGTGGGGAAGAGGGGGGGGGGTAGGGATGAGATGACGAAGGGAGGGGTAGAGAAAGGGTGGGGGTTTGGGTGGGAAAGGGGGGGGGGAAGGGGTGCAGGGAAGGAGGGGGGGTACGAAAGGGGTGAAGATAGGGGGTGGGAAAGGGCTGAGGAGGGGATGGGGGGGTAGGGAAAGGGTGAGGGAAGGGGAGAAGAAAGAGAAGAAAGGTTACTGGAAAGGTATTTAGGGAAGGATAGGGTATTAATAGGGTAAAAGTAGGGAAGGGGTGGAATATGGGTAAGTAACGGAGGGAAAGGGGTGAGAAGTGGGTAGGGTATTGGGGGAAGGAGGACGGAGGGGTAGGGTAGGGTAGTGGAGAAGGAGGGGGGAGGGAGGGGAACGTGAGGGTTACGTTTATAGGTGATTTGGCCGCTGAATTTATTGGGGCGATTTCGACCTCTTGCTCTCTCTCTCTCTCTCTCTCTCTCTCTCTCTCTCTCTCTCTCTCTCTCTCTC